TGTGTTTTCTTAAGAAAAAGAAAAGCAAGATTTTATGGATGTCAGCTTCTTTATTGTGAATAACATGACGTTTCGGAGTATGTTTGCTGCTTCATCAGGTGAAAACGTTGTGTTACTCACAATAAAGAAGTTGACATCCATAAAATCTTGCTTTCTTATGCATTCCACATCTAAATGCCCTTCAAAGATGTGTTTTCATAGTTCCAGCCTTTACAATACATATTTTAAAAAATCTTTCCATAAGCTTAGCACTTTGGTACATGTGACTTGATATGTTTCAAAATATTGAACAGTTAGACAAGCCACTGTTAATGGATTACAAAAAACATTGTCGACTTATATTAGTTAAGGAAAAACAAAGGATTTTTCACAAGTCAAAGTATGGAATTTATGATGACTATATCCAATCTGTCAACTGAAGTTGCTGTCAGTGCATAAATCGCAGTAAACTCTTAAAGAATGGTGGGTTGGCACACAATTTCAATAAAATAATACAAGCAAAACTGATTGAAAGTTTCAATATAATCATTAAAATATATTACTAACATAATTCCTGATATACAAACACTTTTCCAAACATAGTGTATAATAACAGGATGATTAAACTGTGTAATTCAGTACAGACCTGCAGAACATGGTGTTACATGCTCACAGTAATGTTTTAGAATGAGGGTGAAACATCATGATTCATTATGGAGTGTATAATTTACTTATCCCCTGCATAGCTGTGTTTTTTACATATACATATACACTGAAAATATGGAAATGGATTGGTTTGTACAACCACAATGTTTAAACACAGCCATGTGGGTATATCTACATACTGACAACACCGCTTTGATGACACAGGTCCTACAGGTGGGCCACAGACATCCTTATCTATGACATTTATACCACTCTTGGCAAAGGCATGTTGAAATTTATCACTGATGTTTTAATTCAGCAAAAACTGTAACATATGTTATATTTGGGATTACACTTTCTTAGTAAAGTACAGATGCTAGTACTTTTTGGGCAGAGTCCCATCTATGACTCGAACCCACACCCTCAGAGTCAGGCACCTAATCGCCAGGACACAAAGTCAGCTGCCTAACCCGCTCCGCCACCTTGACTTCAACTGAAAATGTGTGCTGGTGTTTAGGTGCCTAACTCTGAAGGTGTGGGTTCCTATCCCAGATGGGACTCTGCCCAAAACGTACTAGAATCTGTACTTTACTAAGAAAGTGTAATCCCAAATATAACATATGTTACATTTGACCACTTTCTAAATGGCATTGTGTAATCAGCAAAATCTATTTTAAGACCTAACTTTCTCCTACTGAGATTGACTCATTTATTCTACTGATATTGAGCAACTCTGTTACTTCATGTCATTCAACATCTATGTTTGTAACGATGAAAATGTAGTTGTCACACACATTTATCTGAGGGACACACGGTAATTGAAGAGTATTTTGAACACGTTTATTCTTATCCATTCTATGTGTTATTTAGAACATGGTGATAATCCAAATCTGTGGCCATGCTGGTCAGATGACAACTAATCTAATACAAGTAAGAGATGACATTTAAAGCAAGGCAGAATGCCAGAAGACAATTCAATTACTGCTGAGTTACAGCGAGACTGTGACACACTATAGTCAATTATCTCTTTTTAATAGTTGGCTACCTCGGGCTACACTCCTAATTACTTGATTCTCTAATGGGAAAAAGATCAATGTGGCTACTCCATATGATACGTTGATTCCATATTGGTAGTAACTTTACTGGTAGGCCAAATAGTGTTCATGATGCACTCCCACATTCAGGAGAAATGCCAGCACTGACCCTACCAAACATTTTCACTCTCTTCATTTCCTTTGTGAAAATCATCTAAAATAGGAGGAGAAGAGGAGGAGAAATAAACAACTGTTGGTAGGGAAGAGGTAGCCATCATGATTTACCTATCAAACAATTAACCTATTGTATGTAAGAGAGTTAATTCACATCTTGGAGACAGGAATAAAATACATTTTAAAGTTAGAAGCAAACTAAGAAACACACATGGGATTATTTCGGACCATTCAGAATTATTATTAACAAATGTTTTTTCAGACAATTACACACATGTCATCATATCCCATAGGGCGGTGGGGTAGCCTAGTGGTTAAGGTGTTCGCTCGTCACGCCGAAGACCTGGGTTAGATTCCCCACATGGGTACAATGTGTTAAGCCCATTTCTGGTGTTCCCCGGCGTGATATTGCTGGAATATTGCTAAAAGCGGCGTAAAACCAAACTCACTCACACTCACTCACCCAATTTTGTAAATCGACGTTCATGCTGTTGATCACAGGATTGTCTGATCCAGACTGGCATATTTACAAATAAAACAAATCTTGCACATGCAACTCACTACTGATTTATGACAGTGAATTTCAGAGTTAAACAATGTTGTAATTGTATAATACTATTTCAGTTAAGATGCAGATGGGAGTTTATAAGATTGAGTTTGAACAATAATCAGGTGTCAGAAACTCCATCTGATGTATGCAGTGGTGTGAAAGTTTGGTGCTTTTAAGTCTAGTGTAATCTGGAATCTTCTAGAACAGCTTTCAATTAATCCAGAATAAACTTCATATTTCTTTTGACCACATTAGCTCAAGTTCATGCCTTTCTCATCTAATATTACATCAAGACAAGCAGGGGTGTGAAAATCTTATTTTCAATATAAGTTATATGTTGGTTTTGTATTATACTTTCTCAGTAGAGTAATGACTCACGTTTTGGGTTGATTCAAACTCACACTCGCAGAGTAAGTCACCCAAATCACCAGCACCAAATCAACCAACTTGTTTTTTCCCCAACCTAAGTTTGATGACTAGCAGTCCAGGTCACATATTTTCACCCTTGGTATCATCTTAGGCTTATTTTAGAAGCTTTGCCACAGAGCCAGGTGAATAATTATTATCATTGCTAATACCACACATATTGCAGTTTATACTGCCAATGTATTTTGCAGTATTTTGAAGTAATTTTTACATCTAGTTGATTTTCTTACACAATTGTTAATATTATACCATTACGTTATTTGTTGACTTCACACTACATTTTGTGTGCAAAGAATTCTGGGTTTTGGAAGTCAACCAATAAACATATGAAGGGAGCGTATTTACATCAGCAGCCAGAGCTGGAACTTAGTACAGCATGTGGTTCAAAGCATTTTATCCAATGTTCAAAGATATCCCAGGGACAAGTAGAATTTCAGGAGTTTTATAAGGGTGAATATTGATCAGAATTGTTACAGGTGAAATTGCATCTCTTCTTTTATTTCATTAACTGGTTGTTTGGATACATGCATTGCTTAGAATACAGTAAATTCTGGTGGCCATTGCTAGGTACCCCTTAGACTTTTAAGGACCCTTGACATTCCTGCTTTATTCAACAACCTTGTGTGGTTGTTAGTCCCTGAGGTCCCAGCTACATCCCTGTGTTGTGATACCACAGGCATGACCATAATAACACACAAGTTGACAGATGGCTGTCTTGTTCTGCTGTCAGCAGCATTACTGATACATTAACACAGAGCAAACTAGTGGCTGACATTATGAGCAACAACCCTCACCACTGAGAACAATCACACAATCAGTTAGGTTACACATCTTAACCACACAATCTGCCTACAAGTTAGCTCTTGCACTGCTTTCTTAATCATAATAAATAATAATAAATGTGCATTTATAATGAGTGCAATCCAGACAGATATGCCTGCTCAAAGCACTACAAAGGGAAATATGTACAGATAAAAATCAGAGGAAGTGTTCACTGGATTTAAACGTCATTGTTATACTTGAAGAACATATGGGTCTTCAGTCTTGATTTGAAATTGAATTGCTCAAAGGTTGGACTAGAGCTGTTCCTTCCAAACTTGCAAGCATAATTTTTTTAACCATATCTAAGAAAAGGAACATTTTACGGCTCATTACAAAGACAATGCAATGGCATGGTCATCCAAATTCCGCTTGAGGTAAGCCCCTCCAGTAAACAGGCACAGATATACTGGATTTCACCAGTAGAGTTAGAACCATTTACCTCCTCACATAAATCTACATATAACTGATTCAACATAAAGTGATAAATGAACAGAAAATGTTACTGAATGATTTAAGCTATTCAGTTTCCACTGTTGGCAGATCTCTTCACATAAAAATGACCATGTAATCAAAAGGATCAACACACAATTGTTTTATATGCACAGAATTATCATCTGTTAAACTCATGCCTACACTGGGCATGAGAGACATTTGAAATACATTCTGTCCACTAACTAACATACGCAGAGGAAATACCAGGTTATCTTTGTTTCGCAGATCACACAACCCAATAACCACAAGCAGAATCTAATCCAGGATAGCAAATTCTCAACAGAAATATAATACTGCAGTTTGATCCATATACTTTCTGTGAAATAACCCTCGAAACATACGCTAGTACACTAGCCTGAGACTAATTTGTGCTGAGTACGAGTTGAAATCAAATGATAATAATCACTGATGAGTAGCAATTGATGGCCATGATTCTTGAACAGTTCTCAAAGTATCAATTTTGCTACCAATTGGAATTAAAAGTAACTGACAAAAACAAAAATACAGTAAACATTTGTTTTCTAGTCCAGGCAGGGGCAGGGCAAAACTCTAAGGACAAGTAAAGAGGGCTGTGTTCAAATGGCCAAGATTTTAATAATAATAATAATGACTTGTTATTTTCTTGATTCTCCTATCCTGGAGTAGACCCTATACAAGCAACATACAATGCATACATGATTACAGCATAAAGGTGCTTTACAACAGTAAAGATTGGAAAGACAAAGACAAGGATAAGCTTGGTGAAGTATATTTCCTGAATTGTGAAATGAGAAAATCATTATGAAAATGTTATAGATGAGCGAGTGATAACCATGACCCTATAGCGACCCTTGACCCAACACAGACTGACCATGATATTGATGATCAAGATCACTCACCTGCAGGGTCAGAGGTGTAAGTGCCGTAACCTGAAATGAATGTTAGGTAAACAATTGTTAATCATTTGCCTAAATTTCAGCTGTCAAAATGACTTATGTGCAGAAAGAAATTGTACAAAGTTAAGAAAACATAACAAAATAACTACACAGAAACAAAATGTAAACATAAACATCAAGAGACACCATGCCTCTGGTTGAATTTATCAAGGATGTTAAAACGACAGATTTTGTTTCAAAGTCAAATACCTGTGCCTGTTCAGCAGTTAAACCCTTAAAAAAGTTCATTCATTAATGCTTCAGAGCATACAATGTCCCTTCCAAACTGACAGAGGTACTGAAGCTCACTCTAGCAACATTGCTTTGACATACAGAAATAAAGAAAAGAACAACCAGTAAACTACATGAAAGAAAGCATACACACTTTGTGTCTGCACAGTTCACACTTCAAACAGCTTCACTTAAAGGTGAGGTGAGATTGGGTTTTACGTCGTGCTTGAGAATATTTCCCTCATATGACGACGTGCATGCGTGTGTATGTGTATGTGTGGCTGCTTGTACTAGCCCAGACTTAAGCTGGTTTTATAGCGCTAGCCCACTGAGATACCATGCCGCAGTGAAGCATGAATACCCCACTCAGACACATTATACTGACTCCGAGCCGACCAGTCCTTGTTGTACCCATTAATGCTGAGCGCCAGGCAGGGACCAACAAGTACCATATTTTAACGTCTGTTGGTATGACGCGGTCGGGGATCGAACCCGCGACCTTCCACTCTCAGGGCAGACGCTCTAACCACTACACCACGGAGGCGGTGCTTCACTTAAAAGGTAACAATCCCATATACATGCAAAATGCAGGTAAATATACTCATGGAAACAAATAAGGGAACACATGAAAGTACAAGTGTTCTTTTATTCTTTCCCAGAATTTCACCCGCAGTGCTTGTGAAGAAACCTGGAAAATAATAAAGGAACACTTTCATCAGATTTTTTAGGCCATAGTATTGTGCATCTTATAGGCTCTTTCTTATGTCAGCAGAAACAGATACTATTTTTCATAATACTGCTCCATAACAGCTTTTAATAATGCCTCTAACATTCTTCAGGCCATTTTCAAGCAAACAAACATGCAGACTCTAAGACCCTATGATTCTTAATCATGTCAATATATATTTGAAGCAGATCAAAACTTGATCACTTTGGTTGAAACGAGTCAAGAAACTGTCCAAATTGATGAAAGTATTCGTTCTTAATCTGTCCATCCCTGTCTGCAAGAGTATTTATTCAGCTACGAAAAAAAAAAAAGAATTGGGCTTCTGAACATTGTATTTGTATGTCAAGTCATTTTCTGCATCGATATGAGTTAATGGATGTCACATAAGAATGACAAATTTTCCATCAACAATATCAGCACCAGTTTACATTAGGTCTTGGTGCATGTGTATTAGGGCAACAATGAATGAGTTAAGTTTTGCGCCACTTTTTGCAATATTCCAGCAATATCAGCGGGAGATGCCAGAAAATGGGCTTCACACATCGTACACATGTGGGGAACCAAACCGGGGTCTTCGGTGTGATGAGCAAACGCTTTAACCACTAGGCTACCCCACCACCGCTGCAATGAATGAGTTTTTATGTTTTACGAATATATAGTAATGGCGAGGTGAAATGGGGTTTAATGTTGTATTTTGCTCACATGACGATGTGCATGCGTGTATGTGTGGCTGTGTGTACTTGTCCAGTCTTCAACTGGTTTTATGGTGCTGGCTCACTGAGATACCATGCTGCAGTTAAGCATGAATACACATTATACTGACTATCGGGCCAACCAGTCCTTGTACCCATTAATGCCGAGCGCCAGGCAGGGACCAACAAGTACCATATTTTAACGTCTTTTGGTATGACACAGCCAGGGATTATACCAGTGACCTGCTCTCCTGGCGGATGCTCTAACCACTACACCACAAAGGCGGTCTATATAGTGATGAATCCGAATATTTATTCATGAATGCATATCAAGAATGTAAAATAACAAACATCTCATGTAATTGCTTAACTTGAAACATATGATACTTACTATATAAAAAAAAAGAGAAAAATGCTGCTTACAGCTTAATAACATTGCTGTAATCAGTCTGGCAAACTAACACAAGTTACTCTACTGTGTGGCTTGAATATATTCCATTTTGCGTATCTCACTCAGATAAACAACAAACTTATTATAAGTAGATCTCCCATAAAAATATCTGATTCTAGTGAGCACAAATAATGAATTCAAGAGAGATATGGTTCCATTCACCAAATACAAGAGTGAATTGTCTCAGGACTAAAGTGCATGTATGTGTATTTACTTCATCGATATTTCTCAGTTACGATTATAACTGTTGCTTTCTGCAAAAACACATTCCTATTAAATGAGTCAAAGTCACACTTGTTACCATGGAAACGAAAAACAAAGATTTAAAAAATCCCACATAGCAAAATGTACCAGTTGACCACCTTATCTACGTATTTCATCTTTTATCACTTATTGTACCTTGTCACATCTGTTGCTATGGACACATAACTGTGAATTCAAATTGTGAACTATTTTAGGCATTATCCATTCCAAGTATCTACTACAAGATATCTAGTGTAGATATGTGATGAAACATGTAAAATATTCTGTCCACAGTCAAAATGCTGCAACATGATAAAAATTCAAAGTGTCGAAAAGATTGGTACATCAATGCATGCAACAAACTATAGGTCATGTATTATATGATGTATTCTATAAATAAATCTGAATGATGAAAACATGTTACACAAAACAGCTGGAGCTATATACCTTCTAACCCTGCCATAACAGGACATGAGTTTCAAACATTACTACTGTTTTCAATGAAATTACACGTTCGATTCCAAACCCTATGAAATGCCACCTACAGATAGTGACCTGCTCACAATCAAGGACACCCCAGACATGGTGATAGAACCTGTCTGTACTGTGGACATTGCCAATACACAAATCACTGACCCACATACACAAACCAAGAACACAAACAACAGGCCACACAAATTTTGAACTTGAAGAATTCACCTCCAATTTACACTGACATATAAACAAGATAAGTGCAGATTCTAACATGACAATGCAATGTAGGACACAAACATGGCAAAGAGAATTTGGATAAAAGGAAGCAGTTCACTGCTGTTCTATAACATGCCATTCTGTTTTTGTTGGCCATGGAACAGACAAAAACGATTAAGTTTGTTGAAATATTGGCCTCCAAATACTACTGTGGGCTCCATCTTCACTTTACCCATTGTCATAGAATTCAATCCCAGGTAGCAAGAAAACTCCCCAACCCCCCACACATTTGCTGTTACAGCCAATTAGAGAAAACTACCTTGACTAAAGCCTGAAACCAAGAAACCTGTGAAAATCCCACTCATTCTTCAAACTTGATCAGAGTGACAGAATATCGATCAAGGACAAGAAGCCTTACAAATGGACGCAATTCTTGCACAGACTGACGACTTGTCTAATGTTTCCTGGAGACGCCATCATGTTTTGACAACTTATTGAGACAATACTGTATTTGTAGTGCCTTTGTAGAAAGTCGTTAGGATGTACCTCGTTAGGATGAGAAAGCCACAATAACTCGGTGCGCCTAGTGGCTGCAAGAGTTGTATACTCCCAAGGGAGTTGAGATTGATAATACGATGTGCCGTTGAGATTGACATCCAATGATCGAGGGGAAAATACCAGCGCCTTGAGCATGCACTAGTTGCCTGGATATGTGCGCTATATAAATATCCTATAATAATAATAATAAAAAGTCCTTGGGAGTTCAAGGGTGAGAGCATTGTTAAATTACTGTGTGTTTTTTTCATCTCAAGGGTAAACATTAAGAGTCTATTTGTGAAAGAAATTCAGCTTATACATTATTATCACTATGATAACCAGGTTTGGTTGAGTTGATTGATGCAGCACTCAGCAATATTCCAGCTATATGACAGCAGTCTGCAAATAATTGAGTCTGGAACCAGACCATCCAGATGAACAGCATGAGCATCGATCTATGCAACTGAGATGCAATGTCGTGTGAACCAAGTGAGTCGAGTGAGTATGGTTTTATGCCACTTTTAGCAATATTCCAGCAATATTCCACCAGAAATGGACTTCACACAATGTACTCATGTGGGAATCGAACCCGGGTCTTCAGCATGAAGAGCGAACGCTTTAACCACTAGGCTACCCAATTGCCCCTTCAACCAAGAGAAATGATGTTAGCAAATAGAGATTACAAAGTTCAGGCCTGACACATTGTTACAACATTACAAAATGAGCCGTGTACTTGGGACAACATAGATGGAGACACACCTAACCAATCATGAGGAGACGACAAGGACAATGTATGACACGGAAGACTGCAACACATCATGCCCATATCTGTAGGTCATCAAGGCTATTTGCCCGTCATGATCAGAAATCAATGCTGGCAGACTGTAAGACAGATCCTTCATAAAATACTTCTGCTGGTGACAAGATTGATTTAGACTTACTTGCAACTAATATCATTAATAAAGGATGTCTGGCTTTGGATGATGTGAAAGTGAGTGAGGTAACTGGATCCTACACCACTGACAGCGACATCACAGTTGCATGATCAAGGTTGCCTGCAGTGTTAATGTGCCAGTCAGCCAAGCAGGCAAATTAGCTGGATAAATCAACCAGTCACAGCTCCATCTGACAGCACCATCCATGAGGGTTGAGAATGTGATTAAACCAAAAATATTAAGATGCCAATATAAAATTACGGTATACACAAATGAAGGAGACAGGCTTATGAACAATATGCAACATTTAAAATTTTGGGCATGAGAAAAGTTATTCATGTCACAAACATCAAAACAATGTTTTTCATGTGCTTGATGACACAGTTAACCTATTCGATCATGTGGAGAAGACGTTCGACTTTGGATGAGGTCAGTGGTTCACATTCCTCTTCACAGGACGTCATAGCCGCAACACTGCATCAACATTGGGCTGACCATGTTCAAAACATATTTGAGAAATGTGTCCGAGAAACCTACTAAACAGTCTTGGAAGTGCCTTCTGCAGACAGCAGACAATGTAGCAGGGCACAGCATCATCCTTAACTTTTCAGCTTACTATCAGACTTCTTTGGTCATGCGAACACGTCATCCAAAGGCATATCAGAAGGTCCATGGTTCGAATCCCATCACAGAACTCAGAAATTGTAACAATAGTTTGCATGGAGACACATTTAATTGATTCCGTGACATTTCAGTAAACAAAACTACAGCCCTACTTGTTACTAATTTCTCCCTCTTTCATTAACATAATGACACATACCAGTAACTGTAACAGTGGAAGCCAAACATACATTGTTCTTTAAGTAAATAAGGGTACACCAACCATTTCTGCTGGCATTCTCTGTTTCAATTACTTGTTGGATGTGATGTCTATCTCTTTCCAGTATTGATAGTCTCTCAATGTCAGTTCCACTTGACTGATACATTAGATCAGCTCTAACATTTGCTCCAGGAGTCGTCATTACCAAAGACACCTCTGGCACTACAGCATATCCTGGCCTTACTGTGGAGGCTGTTGCCATTAAGGTAGATGAAACTGGTATGGGGGATTCTTCAGGAACACTATCATAACTCTCACTAGAAGTACTGAATCTGCTTGCAACAGAGAAAAAGCTTTCTTCCGAGATGGAGCCAGCTGTCATCCTACATTGTGATGTTCTGGCACAAGGCTGATTGTAAGGAATATTGTCTCTCCTGGCACTACCAGGTAGTGAATTAGAGGAATCAATATTGTCAGCCCTAGAGTTTGAAACATCCACACAATCAGATTCCTGAGCAGCTGTATGCCCATCTGAAGGACAACTCTCAGGCAGTGCTTGTACTGTTACAATGCTCTCTTCTGTACCAGATTCTGAAGGGAATGTGAATGAAGTCATACCAGATGTGCTATCTGACACTGTGTTGCTGACTTCTTCAGACCCTCCCATACAAGCACCAACACTTGCACCAGAAACAGAGGCAACAACTTCAGGTCTATTTCTACGACGCTGGACTCTGCTGTTTGGTTTGTAACGCGTTGATCGTTCACTGTGCATAAATGTATCAGTTATATTTTCCTTATCAAGACCAAGTCTTTTCATAATGCAACTTGTTTTGGAATTTGGCACAACTTTGGAAGGCAATGAATATGAGGAATGTTTTTCTTTCCCATGATCACTCTGATTGGTTCGATCCTTCAGGGAATTTGTTCTTGCTCCACTTCTTGTCACAACCATCATGCAAGAGCTCTAACACAACAAAGCTGATACAACTACCAGCACTGGCCCAACCAACACTGTGCAGTAATAACCTTGCCTTACACCATCAAGCTGTTACATAATAGCTTGGACTACCAATCACATGGGAGTGTCAAGACAATTATTTTATGCAACAAGCCTTGAGCTCGGGTTATGTAATGCTGTGTAATGGGATACAAGGTTGTCATGGAGACTCCTGTCCTCACACTATGTCCCAACAAATACACCACTATCACATTAATGTTCAGCCAATACACCTCAAGAGCCTTAGATGACTGTCTGCAAATGGCTGTCCTCTCATGCCTACAGTGCAATGATCAATATTTTTTTCAGCAATGTTTTCTCATATTGTTTTCCGATCATAAACACACTGGTAAAACAACTGGTGAAACCAATCCCCCACCTATCTGAAACATCAACACAATCTCAGTATTGCTTAGATTGACAGGAACGTAAAACACACACGTCAATATCACTTTACAACAGCTGGACCACAATCAATTTGCACTTTTCAAACTCAGGTTACACTTGGACAAAGCATGTAACCGACCAATACATTCTCCTTTTACACTTGTGACAATCTTACAAAAATATAAAGCTTACAAAAATATAACGCTGCTAGACTATTTCAGCACTATCATGAGTGGAATAGATGCAGATTTAATCTAAATGGTGAACATGTGAACAGCATTTCAATTCTGAATGTTTAATTTGGTCATGAGTGAGTGAGTGAGTTAATATTTAATGTCACATTGGCAATATAATTTGGTCATGAAGTAGGTCAATGATATTTGCCACTTTTGGTCAATCCAAGAGTTATATTACAATGTCCCACTTTGTTGAAGTCAACAATCAACCATGTGACAAAACCTAACCACCCAATTCTCAAACCAAGCATAAGTGGCTGAAATCTGACCTGCAATTCCAACAGGGTTGTATCATCAATACAACTAGATGTACTTTCAAAGTTTTTATGATGATGTTTGAAATTATTATCAGCGTTGCTTCAGCAGGTGAACCCTCATTTGAGTCGAAATTCACTTGTTACTGCCTTAGAAGGCAACACAAAATTTAACAGATAAAAATACAAATAACAAACCCCAAAGAAGAAAAGAACAACAAAAAAGAATAAGAAAAGATTCCAATCCAGTTTAGAACACGTCTGATGCGCATACAAAGTTTCACCCAAAAAATGAAAAGTTTCAGAGTATGCACAGGAAAATTATTCACACCCTAACATGAACCCCAGCTCTTTCTGCCTGGGACATGCTGGAAATGCTAAAATACAGTTTCAGAAGGGCAAAATTCAGCAGTTCACATCATGCCGCATGTGGATGCAAAGTTCCATGATGATGTATTAAAGGGTTTATGATGCTCCAGAACACTAGTTCAAGTTACTGTCACTGGAAAAAGATGCAAGTCAAGATTTCCTGAGGTTTAGCCCCTGAATGTATTTTTCTGTCATTGTTTTCCCATTTACAGTCATGGGTACATATTCTGTCAGAATCTGTCCTCACATAAACCATGAAGTAGGTGTACTCACATGTCCCAAGTCCTGCGGAGGTGGGGGGAGCATCTGTCTGCGGTCTCACTTGAGGGGGACTTGTGCCCGGACCACCAGGATATCTTCTTCGATGCAGGTTGGAAGAAAATATTTGCCTGTTGGCAATAAGTGTTAATGTTCAACCTTTGTCATGTGCAAATTCATTTAATGAAACAAGGTAACACCAATGTGATAGTTAATATTAAAGGCAATATCTATCAATCCACAATATGTTACAAATACTAGAGGTAGCATCTTGACACACACAAATATTTTCTGTGATCAAATACTGACTATTCTAATGACAATATTTTCTGATCTTAAATTTTCCATCTTTTCAACTTGAAATTATCAGATGTCCCTGCCAAGAGAGCATTTCAAAATCAGATATCATATGCACAATTCCTCCCAACAGTCAGAATGGTTTCTGGAATGACTGTGTTCAAAGTATCATTATATCAGCGAAACTTGGTCAAACCAATAGCATAATCAGACAAACAAACAGCATCTGAAACATGGTCTTCCCTGGTTGTCAATCGTTTAGCATACCAATACTTAGTATTCATACTAACTAGACTCCCTATTCCAATTTTTACCATTGCCATGTTTAAAGTATTCCACAATATTTGAGATGGCTGACTGACAGTTTGGTTTTACGCCGCTTTTAGCAATATTCCAGCTACATCACGGCGGGGAAAATGGGTTTCACACATTGTACCCATGTGGGGATTCGAACCCGGGTCTTCAGCGTGACGAGCCAACATTTTAAGACCTAGGCTACCCTACCGCCCCTTATGTTCTAAGAAGCACATGATCATGCATGTACCTAAGGGAGGTAACAGAGAATAAATCCCTGTCTTTGTGACAGGGACTGGAAGAAGGTATTTGACATTGACATAGCATTACACACATGTTAAACATTGTTATATGTAATAATCTGATTTACTGAGCATTCCAAAATTGAGACTGTGAAACTATTGTGCAAGAAATAAACCTCAGTTCACCAATATTCCATTTACTGCACAATCCCTATGACCATCCTGCGACTTCTCTTTTTTACAATCAACGGCATATTCTGCTGTGGTTTTAGTGGACATATTTACACACACTTCATATCAAACTGCATGTAGCATTGATTCATCCAATGATACACCATGACTTCTCTGATGTAATTAAAAAGCTTTGCATTTATACCCCCACACAAGTTTCATAGGTGTTAAAAATGAGGTAACAGAGGCACCTGTACTGCAATATATAATCAGTGTTCAAAATCAAACATGAAAGGCACAAAGGGGTCCTTGTCAACCATGATAATAGCTAGCACAAATAATGACTCCTTGAAGAAAAAAATGAAATACCTGTAAAGTTGTCATAGTCCTGATACTAAATGTTTAGAATGAACAGGACCCTCAAGGGTGAGCGAGTGAGTATAGTTTTACGCTGCACTCAGCAATATTCCAGCTATATGGCGGCAGTCTGTAAATAATCAAGTAAGGACCAGACAATCCAGTGGTCAACAACATGACCATTGATCTGCGCAGTTGGGAACCAATGACATGTGTCAACCAAGTCAGCGAGCCTGACCCACCGATCCCATTAATCGCCTCTTCTTACGACAAGCATGGGTTACTGAAGATCAATATTCTAAGCCGGATCTTCATGGGTAAGGACCCTCAAGGACCCTCATTTCTCATAATTAATGTTTTGCATCAACCATGTTAATAACTAGCACAACTAATGACTCCTTGAAGAAAAAATGAAATACCTGTAAAGTTCCCTAATTTTTATCTGCACAGGCATTGTGCAGCCTTTCTGTACAAGTTGTAGTGCTCTCTGGAGTAGTTCTTGTTTGCGGCCGCTTTTGTTCCTCCCTGCAAAGCCCAAAAGGACTTGCAGTTCGGACACCCGAAAGCTCATTATCATGTGCTGAAAAGACAACATCAGTGCTTATATATTAATAAAAACTGATACAACTACATCAAAAGTAAATATGATACGATAATGTTCTTGTCTGTTTACAGTAATTTACTATGTTGCCAATTAGTGATCAAAAGAGTATATTTAAAAGATCTAATCATGAGTTCATTGTATGATTATTCAAGACGAAACTATATGTTTTATACCTTACACACGGCTGTGCAACATCTAGATGTCACTTGTTCCGAATCAATGAATGAATGCATTGCATTCCTACATACATCAGCAATATCATTTGATGACGTACATGAATAATTTTTGGTATTAAACATTACAAACATGTTCAGAAGTCATCTTGTAAAATACATTGTAATTTTAACACAGAATAAACAATCTTGATGCACAATCATTAGACAAACTGCACAGGTAATCCACCTAAAACCTTGCCAAAGTGAGAATAATATTCAAGCTAACTTTTGATCATGTATGATGTATGTATTCTCCACTTTCTCTTTTTTGATGGCATTGTTTATAGCGATCAATTTCAAGAGTGTGAAAGACCTGAGGTTGATAAGATGTAAACAATGTAAGTAACAAATATAAGTACAAAGACAACATATTTCATATCAGTTGTTTGATGGGCATTCTAGAAGTTGGCGACTCAAAAATGAAACATACAACTTTATGGATGACAACTTCTTATTTATTGCATAGAGTGACATTTCGATGTAGAAACTTACATTGCTATCAACCTAAAAGTGAATACAACCAGATGATGAGGGGTATATATACATAGTATGTTTTGACAACAGCAGATTAACATTAACAACAACATGTAATTGAATAACAACTGGTACATAATTATGACAGGCCAGTGGGAGACTAAGAACAACAAATGAGACTGGCGATGAAGCCAATAAACAAGGGGGATTAAGTTGTAATAACAAGCTGATTGGGTGCTTTTTATAGAGTCTATAGTTTGATTAATTCTTTTAGCTTGATAACAATGTCAGAATCTACATCGAAACGTCACTCTATGCAATAAATAAGAAGCTGTCATCCATAAAGATGTATGTTTCATTTTCATACCAGTCTTTCTAATTACCAAATTGGTTAATCACTAATAACCATTTTCAACAGTAAAATCTCAAAACATCCCCAACTTCACACTTGTCTACTACACAGCTAAATCCAAAAGTAGATAATATAAACCCTTAACATGGCCAGGTGCATGTGCAAGCAAATGTTTCAAAAAGCTTTGTGGCTCAAAATACAAAATCTTAAATTCGTAAGACTGTACGACATCACACTTGGTAGACAGTTTTCTGCTTTGTTATCTTAGTCATAATTTGAGCTCCAATAATACATTTTTATGTCAAGAATGGTTTCCTCCTTCATTCTTGGGTCTTTTCAATGCATTGTTTCACCCATTGACAAACTCTTGAACTTAATGCACTGCAGCCTAACTTTGTTTGGTATGATTTTCATCATGAAGGGCTCCAGATACTTTTTCAACATCAGGAGTATGTACTCTTTATTTTTTCAATACAGGAGTACTGGAAAACCTTAAGAGTACATTTAGAGTACCGAATGGAATTTAATGGAGTATCAGTAATCTTGTGTTTCGTTTCAAATATGCACCACAACATTGCTACTCTTGTGTAAACAGGTCAATAAACAATAAATTTTCAGATAAATATGTCTGTAAATGATTCTAAGACAATATACCATTGCTGTGGTGTATATCTGCTTACACGACTTTGTGTGTATTTTCTAAATTATTTGCTACCACAAATTTTGTATCGTTTAGTGATATTTGATATATCCTATTTGAAAAAAGGTGACACCGATGAGAATGGCCCTTATCTGGAGCCCTGATCATGGTAAGAGCAGACTTCCTTACGACAATAAACATGACTTTGTGTGTAATCTATATAAGACAGTCTAAATGCATCTGAATCACAAATTGATGATCTATTGGTAAAGTAAGAAGCATAAGACTTTTCTACAAATTTTTCAACCTCTGGAGCTCAAAATAAATCTTTCACATGTCAACTGCTAAAAACAAGGAAGTTGATTTAGTGATAGTTGACATGTCCTTGACCTTTGAAAAAAGCCTGGCCAGCCACGGCCCGACATGGTGGTCAGAAATGAAAACATTGTTTAGATTTGGTCAAAATTGAGTGGAGAGTTTCTAGAAACCTGCCCCAGATTTTTGGCCATATCGCTTATGAGTTTGTTAGTCAAATTGACCCAGGAGAGGGTAGTCAAAATGGCGACCTCCAGTGGTAAGTGTCCTCTACATGTCTTTGCGAGAGTGATGATTTGATGTTTGTTCGTGGTAGTGTGTGAACAGCATCAGTTTCGACATCAGTTCCAATGTGCAAGAATTTAACGAAGTTGTGACTTGAGCAATAAACTGACAACTGTTTTCGAAGAAGTTATGCAACGCAAATTGTTTACCCTGTGCTGCTGATCCATCCCAGTTTTCGTGCACATCTCTTCATTATATCATTAACTTTGGAATTATTATATCGTTCCCTTTTCTCTGTGGCTTCTGACGACTGAGAAGGAATGTCGTAATTTTCTTTACCATCGGTTGAGACCAATTTCAAAGAAAGCTGAACTCTATACTGTTTTGAATGTTTTTTTGTGTACTGATCAGGTGCCTGAGTGATTAGGAAGGCGTTTCCTATTCTCGCGGTACTTACGGATATATGATACGTATCACAAATAATGGGTAACGAATGAACGAATTTGTTATTAAATGACGAATACAATATTGTAGTTCAGCTGATTCCATCAGTTGAACGTCCATGTGACCCGTTGATTGCCATCCCAATAACCAGTGACGAAACGAAATTTGGCTTCTCCCATTCTCGACAATTAACGTGCGGCCTATAACCTAACATGACTACTGCAGTGCTATGTACAGATTCCATCCTTGCATCTCACATTTCAAAAGTAACAAGAGTTCAATAAAACCACGCTCCTTCCCAAATATTCGTGAATATTCGGTTCTGCCACGAATAACGAATTGAATTCATGAAGAAGCACTTGGTCCGATTCACTAGAATACCAGTCGGTGATGTAAACAACCGCTAAGCGTCACGCATCAGCGTGAGATTTCTAGCAAAAGGGTGTAGGTTACCGCAGATGGGACTAGGAAACCACTAGGGCTAGAATGCACTTGGAGACGGACCTATATAACTAGTATGAGGGTGTAGGTTCGAATCTCAGATGGGACTACATGCAACAAAAATACTAGAATCTGTACTTGACTGAGAAAGTGTAATCCCCAAGATGACATGTTACATTTGACCACATTCTTAATGACATGGTGTATTCACAGAATGTTTTTATGTTTAACTTCTCTCTCACCGAGACGGCGAGAGCCACGATGGGATCTTACAGTCAAGTCATGACCCAACTTCACCATGTTCACAGCTGAAAAGACCACCTTCATAAATCCTATTCAGATTGTGGTGGCTGTATAACCCTTGTATTTTCTTGTGATTTTTAGAAATATATCTCCTGTGGGCTTTTGACTGAAAAATTGATACTGATGTACCCCCAGGTCATTTCCCTGCCTGGACCCCTGTATATACATGTACCTGCCATCATTCATCACAAATTTAGGTAGAAACAGCTCAATAACCTGTTTACTTTGTTTCAACAGTAGCCAGCTGACATGTTGACAATGCATGCATGGTTTTGCAAGATTACACAGTTGCACTGTGATGTTTTTGAAATATAGTCCTTTGTAACTTTCACTGACTTAAGTCTAACCCTTAAGATTGTACTTTTTTATGGATTGGTGTTTGAAGTAAGGCAATGTATTTTGTAATACATGTAATATGTATATGTTTGTTTGTTGTTTAACATCGCATTTAACAATACTCCATCAAGTCCAGTGTCAGATCAACAGCATGAGCAACGATCAACACAATTGGGATACAATGACCACCTGATCCTGTTAGTCGCCTCTTTCAACAAGCTTGGCTTAATGCCAATTTTTACCCAGACCTTCATGGGTCATACAATATGTGCAGAGTAATGTTTTGAAGAACACAGATAAGAGTAACAAAAGCATTTAGTGTTTTGAACTGGATTTATTTTTCCCATGTAGATTTAGGGTTACATATAACAGTCGTATTCAGATCATTCATATCAGTGGTTAGTTGTTTTTTTTAAAAAATAATAAATTATGATGTATATACAATGAGGAATATTTTTCCATTTTGTTATTACTAAATGATTTTCTAATTGTCAGTAACATTTGCCACTGGCAGCCCCCCTTCCATAGTTAAAAGATCAGAGTTTCGAACTGATTTATATTTGGTAAGTTTATTTATGATCCTGTTAGCTGATTCAGTTTTAGCACATGATAATAAAACTTCATTTCATAGTTCATATCCATCAGTTTAGACTTGATATATCTGTTCATGATATAAAGTTACCCTTCTAAATGGATGTTTTTGTTCATCTAGTCCCATGTCATTCTCTTCCCACAGAGGTTACTCCTGTCATATCTTCCTACGTAACCTCTGTTCTAATACGGCCCTTTCATGGTGTGAGCATTTAAGACTCGTGATTGGAGGTAATCAGATTTAGTTGTGCAATCAGCAACGTTGTTTCAAAAGTAATCAATCGCAAGGCCTCAGTAATTTCCGTATGCTTCGAGAAAAACTAAACTTCTTCCCCTGCGCGATGCGCAAACGTTTCTTCTAGACAGAACTCAGTCATGTTATGGCGGATCAGTGGCGTCTCCATCGCCCTCGTTGACAACGGACAAGGTAGCCATTAAACGTCTTGTGTGTAACATCAACACAATTCCCCGGCAGATGGGGAATATTTGTGGCCCCACATTTGCTTGTGTTAGTCAAGTTGAATCTAAGTCGATGTAACACGTGTTCTGATTGGATAGAAAGAAGGGAGATAATTCGTGTTGCGATCTTTTGCCGCTAGGGGATTTTCCGAGAACCAAGAAATATGGCCGTATTAGAACAGAGGTTGATAGGAAGATATGACAAGTAACCTCTGTGGGAAGAGAATGGTCCCATGTATCCTTTTGCATATTTTTATGCCAATTCTTTCTAACTTATCAGAGAGCAGTTAAGTTTGTCCTCCTAATTCCCACCCCAAAATCATATGGTGTGGTCTGTAATAGCCATCCTATATATTTTGTCAACATCATTAATACAAGTGTTTTCACATGGCTATGGTCTGTTTGCATTCAGTGAACAGAATACTTTCTTTAATTAATTTATCACAACAATGTCCAGTGACTACATTGACTGACTAATATCCTGCCTGTCTTGATATATTCAATTTTGCAGTCTCATTGAGATGAAAGCATACCATATCTGTATCCTGCAAAAAATATATGTATTTGTTTGAATAGAGGGTCTGAAAATAATCCTTTTCATTGGCTCCGAAGTTTGTGTGCATTAGTACTGAGACTTATTTACAATAATCACAATAAAATTATAGTATTTTTGTGTATTTGATACACCTTTGTTAGTAGATGTATATTATCTATGGCATATACACATATACATGTAGTTAATGTGTAAACAAACCCGTGAAGATCCGGGTTAGAATATTGATCTTCAGTAACCCATGCTTGTTGTAAGAGGCGACTAACGGGATCGGGTGGTCAGGCTTGCTGGCTTGGTTGACACATGTCATTGGTTCCCCATTGCGCAGATTGATGCTCATGTTGTTGATCATTGGATTGTCTGGTCCCAGACTTGATTATTTACAGATTGCCGCCATATAGCTGGAATATTGCTGAGTGCAGCGTAAAACTCACTCACAAATGTGCAAACACACTGCAAGTAAGTGTGTGTGTATTTTCAACCAATGTTGGTAATTGCTGAGTGAGTACTGCATACAGCTAGAAGAAGAACCTCCTCAAACAGACTATAGAAATCCTGTGATGCGAACAATATGTCAACATGTCAGCTCACTGCAGTTGAAACATGAAGTGAACAGTTTACTGGGCTGTTTCTACCTAAATTTGTGGTAATAAGATAATGAGAGGTTCCCTTATAGAATGGGAAGTGATCTGGGACAGGGAGAATCCTGATATCAACTATTCAATTAAAAACCCACAGGAAATAGTTGGGTTTTTGTTGAAAATCTTAAGAAAATATGAGGGGTAATCGGCCACAACAATCTGAATAGGGTTTATGAAAATGGTGTTGTGCATTCCTACATTTAAGACAGGAACCTACATTGCATCTGAGCTTTTGGCTTATCAGCTACCTGTGCTGATATTGGATATTGTGTGTTAAACTTCTAAACTGTTTGTTTACAATTAACAGTTGCCCTCAGTGTCTTTGTAAGGATCTTACATCAGTATCTTCAAGGCAGAGCTCCAGATAAGATTTAGCTCATGTGGGTACTGTACCCACTGTATTTTTTTGGAGTGGGTATTATAAATGTTGAGTGGGTATTTCATTTTCCGTTACCCACTGCTTCCAAATATGTGCGTATTTCAGTCATTTTACTCACCTAAGTATTATGTCATTGAGTAAGTTTACTAAGCAGGTATGTTCTGCCTTATGTCATACCTAATCAAAAGCAACTTAAATATATTGGAAATGATTTCATGAAAAATCACTCATCCTATACTGACAGTACAACACTAGTCCTATACTAACAGTACAACTTGATAGCAATTGATGTCTTTGTCATTATGCAAGTGATTTTTATAAATATATTCCGTACGCATTTGTTTTAAACTGTTTGCGTACATAACATTGTAAATGCGTAATTGGTACGCAACCATTATTCTTCAATGCGTAATTTGAAATTTTCTATGCATATTTTACCTGGATACGCAGCTTATCTGGGCCTCTGTTCAAGGTTTGAACCTGTTCAATATTTTCTGTCAAGAACTCATTTCCTTTGCCAGGTGAAGGTGATGGAGGCTATAATTTGTATAAAGCGTATGCTATTTGTGTTTTAGTTTTGCGACTTTCGGGTCTGTTTTCTCCGACTTTGGGGTCCCTGGTGAGTCGGCAATCCCCAGCACTAGCAGTTCAATGTCGCAGTCTCTTCACGGACAACAAAGAGGATGACAAGACAAGTGTCAGGTACTCACCACGTTTTCATTCATGCATATATATTTTCCATTTGTAGTGTTTGTTTATAAACCAGAGTTTTGTAATGTGAAAAAACCCATCATTTCTGTTCTATATTAGGCATAACTCAAGCAGTAACAAATATGACAAATAACAAGTCCAGAAATGTTTTTGTTTCCAATGAGAAAGATGAACTGCAACATAATTCAATACTGAAACAGGGTTCTACATAGCCCTGTAAAACTGGGAGTCCTGGTCACTCAGGGCATATTTTTGGGGGAGTCCATTTCCAAAATTGGGAGTCCATCAATTTGCATGAAATCAATTATCATAGACACTTCCCATTTAATAATGATTATGTTATAATATGTGTTACTTTCAAAGTCATTAGAATAATAATTGTAAACAGAATGTTTATATTTTAATATGGGATATCATTACCAACTTAGAAAGTATTTTACCAGAAAAAAGATATATTGCGTCCACAAGGACCCACGTGATTTTAGTTTGGGGGTACTTCATCAAATGTCTGCATCCAATACAAAGAATCACGCATCCCATAAAACCCTGCCAAAGTAACCTACCAATGTGTAACTCCTCTATTAGAGATGTCACACATAACCATGATAACAGCATGATAGTTTCTTACTTTCTTCAAGTGATGGGTATAAGGTGAAATTTCAAAACTGTCAGTGTCAAATTAAATTAATTGTTTCACATTTCAGTGTTGTTCCAAGTAGAGGGCAGAGCACAAGCCAAGGAATTGTGCCAAAGAAAACATATTCCCCTTTCCAGAACACTAGCAATAAGGCCGAATATGCACTGGCCAGGGTGGATGACCTCCTCAACTGGGCCCGGAAGGTCAGCAGTTTACCTTCAAATAGAATCAATGAATTGTAGATTGCTGGTCAGCTAAAATAAGGTCACTCTTACACTGTAAAGGATTATGTTTATTGATTACGCCATGTTTATCTCACACGATTTAAGGCAGGCCTCATCAGATAAACCTCTTTTGTAAGACAACCAAAATAAGGCGTTACTTGCAAATAGAAATTGTTTTTGTGAACAAAAGTTCAGTATTCACTGATAGTGTGTGGACATGTGTCCTTTAAGAAGCTGATTGTGGGTTCTAGATAACAGATTCGTCTTTTGAAGCCCGAAGGATTGGTTTCAGAGAATATCAAATGGAAATATGCCCATTGGACAATGTCAATGAGAAAATAAGGATTTCTGATATCCAGTGACCATGATTTAAATCTGGGACTGAGATATGGCCATCATGATGCTGGCAGTATAATGATGTGCATTGTCCTCTCAGAGCTCCTTGTGGCCCGTCACGTTTGGCTTGGCCTGCTGTGCTGTAGAGATGATGCACTTCGCTGCCCCCAGATATGACATGGACAGGTTTGGAGTTCTGTTTCGGGCCAGCCCTCGACAGGCTGACCTCATCATTGTAGCAGGAACACTCACAAACAAGATGGCTCCAGCTCTGAGAAAAGTAAGTATGAAGAAATGTAGGAAGGTCACTGTAATTCCTAAGTAAGACAGTGCTGTGACCTGTACCTGGCCTTACATGTTGCTGGTGACCTGTACCTTACTTTACATGTTGCTGGTGACCTGTACCTGACTTTACATGTTACTGGTGACCTGTACCTGGCCTTACATGTTGCTGGTGACGTGTACCTGACTTTACAAGTTGCTGGTGACCTGTACCTGACTTTACAAGTTGCAGGTGATCTGTACCTGACTTTACATGTTGCTGGTGACCTGTACCTGACTTTACATGTTGCAGGTGACCTGTACCTGACTTTACATGTTGCAGGTGACCTGTACCTGACTTTACATGTTGCAGGTGATCTGTACCCGACTTTACATGTTGCTGGTGACCTGTACCTGACTTTACAAGTTGCAGGTGACCTGTACCTGACTGTACATGTTGCTGGTGACCTGTACCTGACTGTACATGTTGCTGGTGACCTGTACCTGACTTTACATGTTACTGGTGACCTGTACCTGACTTTACATGTTGCGAGTGACCTGTACCTGACTTTACATGTTACTGGTGACCTGTACCTCTCTTCACATGTTACTGGTGACCTGTACCTGACTTTACATGTTGCAAGTGACCTGTACCTGACTGTACATGTTGCTGGTGACCTGTACCTGACTTTACATGTTGCAGGTGACCTGTACCTGACTTTACATGCTGCAGGTGACCTGTACCTGACTTTACATGTTGCAGGTGACCTGTACCTGACTTTACATGTTGCAGGTGACCTGTACCTGACTGTACATGTTGCTGGTGACCTGTACCTGACTTTACATGTTGTGGGTGACCTGTACCTCTCTTTACATGTTGCAGGTGACCTGTACCTGACTTTACATGTTGCAGGTGACCTGTACCTCTCTTTACATGTTGCAGGTGTACGACCAGATGCCTGAGCCAAGGTGGGTGATCTCTATGGGCAGCTGTGCCAATGGTGGAGGCTACTACCACTACTCGTATGCAGTAGTCCGAGGCTGTGACAGGGTTATTCCTGTGGATATATATGTTCCAGGTAGGTTCAAAGCCTTCATTTGTAACTTCCTGTTGTAGAGGATCATAGAAGACATCATTGAACACCAGCTAGGACATCATGTCCCCTTGTGTATCCACACCATACCTCGTAATACAGCAAACATTTAATGCTGAAGTAACATAGTGTTGAATTTAAGTCCTTCTTTACTGATGAGGAATATTTTTGGGGACACTTTCTTAGTCAATACTGTGTGCAATTTGATAATAATATTCATGATCTCTGATGTTTTACTTATTCAGTATACTTTACATTAAATTCTGCCCTTTAATTAGTAAGCCATGACACTGATATATATACCCATGCATTAATTAAGCACCACCCTATTTTGAAAATAAGATGTGATGCTTCAGAAAACTTAGGGTATAGCCAGCAATTTAATTAACCTATAGTTAAAGAAGATTTATCCATTAATAATAATAATAATAATAATAATAATCTACTTCTATAGCGCCGAGTTCCAGCTAGACTGCTCACATGCTCTTGTGCAGTTCAGTTTATTTCATTTCAAATAGATGTGTCTTTAGATATTTTCGGAAAGTTTGTAGACTTGGAGCAGATTTTAGCGACATAGGGAGGTTGTTCCATAGCATGGGAGCTGCACATTCAAAGCAGCGTTCCCCGTATTTGGTCCTGGATGGTCTGGTGATAAGCAGATCTTTATCTTGTGATCTAAGAGTTCTTGTTGGTCTATGGTTGTTAAGAAGAGATGACAAGTAAGATGGAGCAGTGTTGGTCTTCAGGCACTTGTAGATAATGGTGAGCACCTTGAAGTTTATGCGTCTAGCAACAGGTAGCCAATGCAGTTCTCTTAACCTGGGTGTGATGTGGTCTCTTTGAGGACAACAAGTTATTATCCTGGCGGCCATATTTTGTATAACCTGGAGTCGATGAACCAGGGAAGCTGTTATCCCATACAAAAGTGAATTGGCATAGTCAAGGCGAGATATGACTGTTGCTTGAGTGAGAGTTTTGGCGGTTTCATCTGAAAGATATCGTCTTAGTTTACCAATCTGATGAAGATGGTAATGAGAAGACTGGCACATTTGGGTGACCTGTATGTTCATGGTCATGTGGGAGTCGAAAACAACTCCTAGATTCTTCACTTGAGAAGAGGCAGGCCCATTCACAGGTCCAATATTGACTGAGAATTCTGTCATACGTTCCTGTAAGTGCTTTGGCCCAGTCAATCCATTGACAGTTTTACAAATACCATGACCTTTTCTATTCTTTATGAAAGAATATGTTGATGAAAATGTGATGGGACTGAATTTTTACCTAAAATAACTATTCCACTCCTGCTCAAACTACACAATTAAATTAAGTTTTGACTAAAAATAACAATTCTGTTATATACCAAGATGACATTTACACATCAAGTAAGCTTTAATTATGCATAATCAGGAAGAACCCGAATGTCAAAGATTCAGACCTTTTTCCAACAATTCAGATTGCTAATTGACAAGAACTGAAATGGACACATTGATAAGATTTTGGAATAAATCTTTTATGATTTTGAGTTTATTGTATTGAATAAACACTTCTCCTTGCCAGATACTGATAATTACAGCTAAAATCTGTTTTGTTTGTAAAGCAACTGTTACTGCATTTTAAAAAAATGTCTTTTTAGTTTGACTGTAACTTTTTCTAAATCTTAGTTTTACAAACTTTCATCCAATCACAATAAATAACGAATTTATAGGTCACATAACAATCAATTATTACTTTCACTTTTCAAAATAAGGTAACTTGTTGTAGGACAGAAAAACACCTGTTTTAAATATAGGCAATTATCCTAATTAAAGTACATGGTAATTTCAATGATGTTTTCGTTTATGAAATGTTAAATGCTTGTTCTCTCAAATTATAAAGGTTGGAAAGAGTTTAGAATTTCATTTCATCCAAAATTAATTGGTAAAATACAGGGTGGTGCTTATTTTATGCAAATATTTTGAGTACTGCTGCATTTTTACAGGCAATCAGTGATTTGTTTCATGTAACTCAATATGACGCCTTTATTTCTCCATCCATAGCGCTACCTGAGGTGATTAATGAGGAAAGGGAAATAACTCTTTGACATGTCTTTTCAAGACACTATTCAGGCAACAGATCTTTCACTGATGTTAGTTTTAAAATATATTTTAGGGATGCTGTTTTAACTACCAATATGCTAGAACCTAGCTCAGTGACTAACATTCAGGCTGGAGTCACAATGTAATTTTAAAAATGTCTGTATAATTTAAAAGTTTGAATACGGAATTCGAACTTCAAGTTATAATAATAGTGACTAATGCTAGGGTTTGGAGAGGTGATCTGTATTTCACTGATAACAAACTAACAAAGAAGGAAGAGGTTATAATGACTGATTTTACCTTATTGCATTGAATACAGTATTTAACAACATTTTAGAAAATAAGAACATCTAAAACTCCCGTTTTTGAACAAACATTTTTCTCAAATTTGGCTGTCACTGCCATTTAGTTTTGGATCCTTAACATATCCCTGAATATTCCTGCATGAAACCATCTCTGATTATCAAGGGCAGTATACCTCCAATTTTCCATGACAATAGCATTTAGCAAATTAGGTAAGTCAGTCTTATAACACTAACAAAATCTGATACCATGAGCAGGTACTCTGATTTCTCCTGTTGCCAGGTTGCCCCCCGACGGCAGAAGCGTTGTTGTATGGAGTTATGCAGCTGCAGAAGAAGATAAAGAAGATGAAGTCCGTACAGATGTGGTACCGGAAGTAGTGGGCCTGGTATCCTGTACATAGACTACTTATGTTATTTTGGAGATAAACCTAGTGTGTTTGAAAATCAGAGACATGCTTTACTGAATTGATGGCGACTAAATTTCAATTGGAACCGAACGCGTAGCGTGAGGTTTCAATTGAAATATTTAATCGCCATCAATTCAGTAAAGCATGTCTCCGATTTTCAAACACACTAGGGTTATCTCCATTCTACCATGACCCATTTAAAATCGAACTTCCTCGCTCTGCGGAAAGACACTGCGTAATCCGGCATGGGACGAGAGGCGAATTGAACTTCGTCTGTGAAGGGGCGGTAGGTGCCGTTCGTATTTTTTTAACATTACAACATAACAATATTCTGTCCAAAGAAATCAAACTACTGTTTATTCAATGCAATTATGTAATACCTGAGATCTTGGGGTTTTTTTCATCCCAACTCCACACGACTAAAACCAGCCTATTGTTTTGTATGCCGTGAAACTGTACCCCCCTGGCCACACTATAATGGAATCGTCTGACCTACTTATTTTCTTCCAAGTAGACAGTTACGCAACAGTTTGAAATGGCGGACGAGCCAGTGTTTACATTTTGCGAAAGGTTGAAATTTGAAGTGACAGTGGACAATACTTGACTGACTGTCGAATCTGAACCCTGCAGAATCGAAGAATAGATCCTTTACTGATCATCCTACGACCTGTAACTCATCAAAGACTGTTGATTTTTATGACCGGCCGATCATGATTTCACGTACTGCCTCCACCCCGGCATGCGAAAAGAGAGTGACAGTGCTGCTGCTTAGTGTACATGCGACTGACTTGTGATTCCTTGGAACTTTGTTTTTATCGTTTGGGACTGGACTGTGTCCAAGCGTTTTTCAAAGTAGATGAACATAACAGTGACAATCATATAATTGTATTTTTCAAGTTTAAATAAATGTTTTATCAGCATTTCCATCATGTCTGTTGTGTTGGTATTAGTCATGTTGGTGGTCAAGCTGAAGTAGTGCGGCAGTGTTCTATACGTGCGCAGTGAAGCGCAATGAAATCAAACGCATTTATAATCCAAAAATTTCCAATTGCCTATGTGGAATATTCGAAAGTCAGCGTCAAAATCCACGGAGTTGTTGTTATGATCCGCCATCATTGTGGTCAAACGGAAGTAGTTCTCAAAATAAGATTTGTCAATGCACGGTGAAGCGGCCTTACAATCAGATGAGCGTCAATCCACAATTGATGCCGTCTGCTTTTTCTGAACAACCAATCAGAATCTAGTATTTTCTTGATTCATGGTAGAATTGTACATATTTGTTGTGTTAGTGCAAACAGTAGCACACTTGGAACACTTGAACTTTTGACCAGTGTGGGTATAGGGAAGCCTCGCATTTGAAGTCCCCCCTTGAAATAACTCTGGATGTGAAAGTACATGAAGATTTTTCATGTTTCGGATACGAATCTTCAGTGCCACAATGGACTTGTTTTGAAAAATGCGAATTAAAGAGAAACTGTGAAATAAAAACTTTCCAATAAAGTTTTCAGAGCATATTTTGTATTAAGCTGAGCATACATGTTCCAAATGACTTTGGGCATTGTCTGTTGATGAATTTACGACAGAAGACACGTATGTTGATATATGTAATGTATATTGAAGTTTTTGAGTGTTGACAAAGACCTTCACTTGTTGTTGACCATTAACATGTTCAAGGGCAGTTATACCACTTTTCACAAAGACCTTGACAAGCCATTTGCCTTTGCACGCTGGTACTTTGATGTACAGTGAATCTTGAACACTTTATTGAATGATGCAAGTCATTACTTCCTTTATCATGGAAGTATTTGAAAACATTTTAGACAAGATGACAGAATGTTTGAATGCAGTGAAAGTGTAACATAGCATCTGTTTGGGTAGTTCATGTCCATAATAAGCACTGCAGTAAGGTCCTCGACGGAGCAAGACTCACACTTAGTGTTAAACAACAATCCATGGAACGAGGTATCATTGACGTCTCCTTCCAACAGTAAGTACTGATCATATGGCTATGAGTCATCGATACTTACATGCAACTGAATGTCATTATTTGTCAGATCCCCTTTTAATAACAGGTTTGTTTGGACAATTATAAAATATGAAATATTAATGTTCAAAATGTAACTGAATTTATGCAATGCCGCGAAAATAGGTATCGTGATATGTATCGATTCATGAAACTTATGTATCGTGACATCCTTACTGTTCATCCTAAATATTTACATTATCAACAATTGTGAAACTACAAGATCTATCATTTTTGTATGGAAGATCCAGAGCTAAAATAAGTCACCAGTCCATGGTAGTCTGACACAAGGTAGTCAAGTTGGGGTTTTTTCAATGTCAGCCTAACCCAGCAGCATGGGATGTCGGTCATTACATCCATATTTTCCTGACAGACAGAATATTGCGGAATTGTGACTTAAATCAAATACAAAATCACAATAAATGTTGAGGTGAAATGGGGTTTAACATCGTACTTAAGAATATTTTGCTCATATGACGATGTGCATGTGTGGCTGCATGTACTAGCCCAGACTTAAGCTGGTTTTATAGTGCTTGCTCACCGAGATACCATGCTGCAGTTAAGCATGAATATACTGTCTGAGTACTGTCCGACCAGTAACCATTAATGCAGAGCCATATTTTAATGTCTTTTGGTATGACGCGACCAGGGATCGAACCCGCAACCTTCCGCTCTCTGGGCGGACTCAATAATGTTGTTGTTTTTCATTCCTGCAACACACAGAGGTAGATTATGGTTTGGGCTCCATCCTTAATGAACATGTGCGGATCAAGTTAAAAATCCACCATCCAGAACTAATATTGTTCAGAGTAAAAACCCGTCTCTCATATATTTGAAAATAGTGCACTGTGCAAAAGAGTGGACACATTTTCAACTGAAAGGTCTTCATTATTTGAATCACTTGTGTTACGATCATTTCCTGACATTATCCAACTCTACAAAGTGGAGGCTGTTCAAACACATGACAATGTACTCTCACCAGAACTCCAGCATTCGTCTCCACTCCAGTGCAGATTTTGGAGTTGTGACAGATCATAATCAGAACAGAATGAACAAACGTGAGATTGCAGCAAAGACAGGGATTGACGTCCTCCATCCAGTACAACGACTGCAGCGTGGACATTACAGGTCAAATTTGAATAACAACAGAGTTATTGCCCTTTAGTAGTTTACCATCACGATCTTGGTTTTTGAGTAGTGCAGCAAGTTGAAATTTTTTTCGAGAATAATTATTTTGCAGAAAAGTGGCCACTTGTTCCAAATGATCCCATGCACATATTAGTTTCTTTACAATAGTAAAATCTTTATGAATTGAATTCATGTAATCAACCTGTGACTGGATCACAGCTGCCTTCTGGTGAACATGCCAAGGAGCAAGGGAATGTAATTGTGAGACAGACAACAAATCCTGGACTGATGTCTTCTGGAACGATGTTGATCAGCCCTGTACAATGGTTTTTGGTGTCACTGCCACTGGAGTCTTTAAACTGGTCAGTTGGTTTAAAACAAAATAACAATCAGCTCCTTTCACTGCAACACTTCACTGTACCCATGGATCACTCAAAAAGACATCTGATGCTTTATTGTAAGAGGGAATGGGTGGTGTCTTGGCAACTTGATGCATGTGGTCATAAGAACATCGAGAAATTCCATATTCCCGTCAATCCCTGGACTGTTGTCCAGACTATTATTACAGATCACTGAATGCAGCAGTGAACAACAATCACTCGGCTGCTCCCTTCTTGTTCTTCAACCTTGAGTTTGGGCTGCATAATGATTTCAATTATAGAGATTGATAAGTAAATATTGCTCATCGACTAATATCGGATAAGTTACATACCAAAAATGCCTAAAATGTATTTCAACATATTTCAGATCACTGGTCTAGTATTTATGTATGCATTACTAACAAAACAGCCTCCTAAACATAATTAGGAAGCAGCCTACAGATACGACCTTATTTTGTGTTTTGTAAATTATAACTGAATTTCGCCACAATAGTTAAAGCACCACAATGAGTGAGTATAGTTTTACGCTGTTTTTTTAAGAAGTGTTCCAGCAATATCACAGTTGGAGACAACACAAATGGGCTTCACACATTGTACCCTGTGGATAATCAAACCTGGGTCTTCTGCATGAGCGAACGCTTTAACCACTATGCTAACCCCTATGTATGACAATATCGACACAACTTTCATATCGATAATCAAGCATATATCCAATTACTTATCTTTTTTTAGCCAGCCCTTCTTTGAGTGTCAACTTTATGAACATCAAAATTCCCTGACTTTCTCAACAATTTCATCTTTCTTAAACAAATAAAAAACATGTCCAGCTTTGTTGTAGCAGCTTTATTGAGTATACATGGCTCCCTACTTGAGAGGGATGAAACGAGAGGAGTGGGTGGCACCAATACCAGGCCGACCGTGCTTCACAGGCTTGTATGTGATGCTGAACTCTCCTAGATAGTGACCAATCATCTCCGGCTGAAATTAAATGTACTCCAGTAAAGCATCCTGCAAAGTTCTGCCATCTAATTTACACAATCTTAAGTTTCCTTCTTTAATGTGGCGCCATTAACAAACATTTAAGGATGTTCAGTAGTTTGTGTCATGGTCTCTGGGTTGGTTTATCTACATGCAACTGGTTATAAAAGGATTGTTCAGATTAAGGATTTGTCCCGAATCAAGATGCAAGTTAAAGCAGTTACCAAGGAGGATTGTTACAAAACATAAAAGAGTAAACAGGAAATGAGATACGGCACCATGCAGAGTTTGGCAACTAGGAACCCATTTTCAGTTCACTGTCGCTGGATAAACAAGAAACATTAAACAGTTTAGTTCTCCAGAAACACCCAAGATTGTTGTACCCCTGCATTTTCCAAATCAGGGTGGAATAAAAGGATCAAAGGACTAAACCTTGATTTCAAATGCTTTCACATGAACCATAACTGTACAGTCCACAACTGTACAGCCCTGGGCTTCGTTCCTCAAAGTGACTGTAGCGTTAAGACTGTCGTAAGTCTTTGTTAAAGTATGGGAGTTACAACTGTCATAGTGCTACGATGGCTTTGTGGAACAGGGCCCAGGTTGACGAGGACCAGCTTACCTTGATTTCCACCTGGTTGAAGGTCTTGCCTTGGTACACTCCCACAATGCTGCCAATCATCTCAGGGACAATGATCATGTCTCTCAGATGGGTCTTCACCACCTACATAAAAACAGAAAGTTGTTTATTTGAAATTTGTAAATGGTCAATTCCGACCGGGCAAAAACGGTCATTCATGTAATGAAAATTAATCAACGCTATTGGAATACAATGACATGCATGAAGCAAGTCAGCTAAGCTGACCACATGATCCCCCTTATATTGGACAGGGCGTTCAAACAGTCAGTCAAGCACCTGCTCCAAAGATTGTATCTTGCTTATGGCGGGTTTGTTTTTCAGCCTATGGACCAATAATGGGTACAGTACATGCACTTTGTGCACAAAAATGAACCCATACATCCCACTGATGAATTTTTTTTGTTGCAGACACAAACACATCTCATGCGCGGATCCAGAGGGGGGGTGCATCCCTCCCAAAGAGTGTTCCAAATGTACTACATGTTTTATGCCCAGGGTTCCGAGGATTGGGGTGCACCCCTCCCCCAAACGAAAATCCTGTATCCGCCCCTGCATCTGACGTATGTCAAAATGTGTTGAGTCACCCTGAGCATGAAGCTATCTGATATGTGCCTCTTCACCAAAATGGCAATGGGTGCCCTATATGTGAAGCATGGTGTTAAAACAAAGCAGCCTCTTAGGAGCTTGGGTTAGTCAACACACCAAGGAGTTGAATGTGGTAACTAGAACACATACAGATCCACTGGCCAAGGAAAGAATAAATGGTGCTTAAGCAGATACTTGCGTGGCTAATTGTTATAAATACTACTACTACTACTAACGATGATAACAGAACCACAATAGAGCATGCTGACACAGTATCAATTACATCATTTAAGCCAACCACCTGACCTATAGTTAATGAAGTTTCTGTACACAACGAGCAGGTTGCTGGGTACTAATTCAAAACAGACTATGCATGGGCATGGGGTTCACAAATTTGTGCAATTTACAGGGACGTGACCAGTGGATATCAGTGATAGAATTGGTATTCAGCAATCCATGCTTGTCGTAAAAGAGACAAACGGGATTGGGTGGTCAGGCTCGCTCAGACTTGATTCACACAATATTGTATCCCAATTGCATATTTGATTCTTATACAGTTGATCACTGGATTGTCTGGTCCAGCTTTGATTATTCACAGACCGATGTCATATTGCTGGAATACTGCAGAGTGTGTTCAACGACAAATAAGTATCTGCAGTAAAACCAACATGCCAAACATTCAAGGGGAACAAGTTTCTGTCTTCCTAAAGGAATAATGGTGTTTTGAAGAAATGAAATATACATTGACCGGAAGATGCAAATGATCACATCTTTCACCCTATCACTGAACAAAAATAATTCTGCCCCCTTCCTTCAAGCTCAAAAGTTTGGATCATAACCTTGTTAAACAGCTAAATGATGCTAACCTAAATTTCAATGATTGATCTTGTGGAAAGATCCAATTATTTTACAACCTTTTCCCATCACTGCCATGGGGACTTAATGAGAGTCCTGAGAAAAATTAAAACAAAATGCAATAAAACCACCCAATGAAACTCAGTGCATTGTGCGTATACTTGCCTCGGGTTTTTCAAGAGGTCCTGCTTCTTTCTTAGCCTTCCTCAGTTTCTTGATCAGTCCCAGCCTCTTGCGCTTCAGGCCTCTGCTGAATCGGCGACGAGCACGGCATGGGAACAACTCCATCAGCTGCTCACTGGAAAAGATGATCTCAGTATAATAAATTTTGTTAGATACTTCATAAACATCTTAGTACAAATGTGTTAATAAAATGTCCCAAATATCCTGTTTCTTAAAGACTTGAAAATGACAAATATGAAAAAAAAAAAAATTAAACGTGATGGTATGCTAGGAGTGAATTGGCTTATTCAATGTCTTTACTGCTACTGTCCAAAGAATGGATTGTTGCTCATGCTACAAAGAGCGGGTCTATCTGGTTGAAGCTGATTTTACATGTTGCAGTAATCAAAGCAGTAATCAATTTCTAAATCAGTGATTTGCATATCACTACCATCAGCACTGGATCGAAACATAACTGTGCAAATGTTTGTGAAGAAAAAAATTATTTAGTGGGACTCAACTTTCAATACTTGATTTAACTTCTATCAGCTGCAAGTTCATATGGAAACAGTTGTGATAAAAATAAGTAAAAATTCTCTGATCTCTGCGAGTGTAATAATGATATTTCATATGATGGTTACATTACTAATGCGGAAATAAAGCTACATCAAGCCCTGTATGTTGTTTTGCTATATTGTCTGCAAAATTGTTCTGATTTGCTTTAAAAAAAAGTCAAACTGGTGAGTGAAAGGCAACACTGCAATTTCCTGCTAAACACCTGCACTAAGTCAAACCAGCTGTCATCATGCCGGTACTGTGGGAAATGATCAAGGAACTAAAGTTCAAATGACATACAATGTGTACGATAAAGTTATTGCACAACAACGGACAACTGGAGTTTCTATGCTTTGTATTAGATTATGGGGGTAGATTTACTTATACCGGTACCACTTAACATATTTTCTGCGCATGATCAGAAGGAAGCTTAATGTTAGGGTTAGAGCTAGGGTTAGACTCTCTATATACAACAACCGGAATTAGCTAAAACAATGGTACTGGTGTAAGTAAAGTGCTCCGATTACAGTTGTATTATTGTATCAGAAATTTACAAAACAAGTAGAAATCAATCATGTACATAAACCTGACAATGTTAATGTGCTGCAAATGTCCATATAGCTTGACAAAATTAAAAATTGTATTTACATTTGTTACTCGAGTATCTTCTGTGGATAACTTGTGTAGACAAGGTGAACAAGTGTATCTGCTTAACTCAGGGTGTACATCACAAAGTTAAAGAAATGAATAACACCATGACATACTGCCTAGCATAAAGATAAAATACAGACGCATAAACATTAACCCATTCTTATTGTGCTTCAACTCGAAACTCGACAAAATATTGGTAACATTGCACAACTTCTATGCAACGAAACACGAATGCTTCTTTCAAATCTTCATGGTAATTATTTAAAAACATCAGAAAACCAACCTAGTCATGTCCAGAAGCTGGTCCAAGTCTACGCCTCTGTAGGTGTATTTACGGAAGGTCCTTCTCTTCTTCTTCTCAGCCAAATCGGCTGCAGATTGTTCGTCCGTCTGCATAAACAGTCACATCAACCAAGATCAGACTTACATACACACTTGAGATAAAACGCATCAAAACATCACTGGTGTGAAATGTTATGTCAGTACGAAAGAAGGATCATAGCTTAATACAAAATTATTGTCATAAACGAAATAAAACAACAAGATGATAGATGATAGTGGATTAGATTTGGCATAGCGAAGACACCATCCTACCATGTTGATTTCTTGGACAGGAAAAGGAAGTTGCAATGCCGGAAGTTTATGTTTACGCATTCGCAGTGAAATATACTTTCTCCCACACAACTACTAACAATCTTAATTTGATTTATTTGAACCTTATATGGATGTTCAGTTTAAAACCGACCACAAATCAGAGGGCCATAAGCTTTGCCTTTTTCTGCGAATAGATCCTAGAAAAATATATAGCAAGAATTGATATGACGTTTCTTTACACTGCAAATCACTCACGCTACCCTCATCCTGCAAGGACTCTATGTCTACTGGAGTGTAAAGATCAAATGAAGATATCAAGTTTTGAAGCTCTTTGATTATGCATGCATGATACAAACCTATGTTAACAGTACTATAAAATATATACATGTACCTCCACTGCTTGGTCCGTTTGTTCTTTTCGGGACACAAAAATTGTTATTCCATGGGCTGTAGTACGCACGCGTTTATATAGAGTTGGGAATAGTGAGTGAGTTTAGTTTTACGCCGCACTCAGCAATATTCCAGCTATATGGCGGCGGTCTGCAAATAATAGAGTCTGGACCAGACAATCCAGTTATCAACAGCATGGGCATCAATCTCCGCAGTTGGGAACCGATGACATGTGTCAACCAAGTCAGCGAGTCTGACCACCCGATCCCGTTAGTCGCCTCTTACGACAAGCATGGGTTACTGAAGATCAATTCTAACCCGGACCTTCACGGGTGAGTTGTAAATACTTCAGACAGTTATCACCAATATGTCGACGTCTCAGCTTGCACGTGTACATGATTCATAGATAATATGTTTACTGAACGTATATTTGTGTATATAATGTGGTGTTCATTGAAATGTGGTGTTCATTTGACAGGATGAAAGTCTGTTTCAGATACACGTTTGTGTGACTGATCCTAGACAGTGAGCAACTGTTTTATGCCGGTGTCGCTAATCAAGTAGAATCTAACGGCCTAAATAGTGAATCGATGAAAGCAGCATGAGAACGTGTAACAGTAATACACGTTCCGAATACCATGATGGTATTCGATCCACGGACCTTCTGATACGTGGCCGCACCCCTTGTTCACTATTGTGGGGTGGGGTACACTGCCCCCCACTCGTCCATTCCTCACAGGTCTCTGCCCATTTCGCTCATCTCCCACACTAAAACGTACTGTGAGGTACAGGACGTCTTTCACCCAAGATCTCCACAGTGGCACTGACTCTGGTGTCCCCCGCCGTGATATTCCTTGAATATTGATAAAAGCTGCGTAAAACTAAACTCACTCACTCACACACTGGCACTAACGCTTAGTCTCTGAATATATTATATAGATAATTTTGATAGTAACACACAAGCCCATTAAAACTGAAAAGGAGCCCCAGGGAGACCAGAGATTCAGAACCTGAACCTGGGGACATCTAGACTTGCTTCATTTAGGGCTCTGCAGGGAGGGCTAGGCAGTAGGGAAAATAATATGGTTCATGGACTGTGACTAGCGTATACTGTATATATGGTTTGTTGTGGTTTTGATCAAGTTGTAATGTTAGAGTTTTGTATGACACTCGTGGATGTGAGGATGCATCCGTTGTTCTCGACACTTTTATGGTAAATAGCATTTTTTTAAACTCCGACTTTATCAAAGTGGGATATTTCAAAATTAAAATATTGTAACCTCTAAAATCGCAGATGTCGTTATTAACCCTGACTAAATGACTGTTAGGTACAACAAACACATGTGACTACCCATGAAGATCTGGTTTAGAATTGGTTTTGAGAAACCATTCTTGTTGTACGAGGTGGCCGGGACCTGGTGGTCGGGATGTCTGACATATTTGATGCAGATCATTAAATCCATTTTGCGTAGTTCGATATTCATGTTGTCAATTCCTGGATCGTTTGGTTCAGACTCGATAGTTTACAGATGCAGTTGACGTTTGGGGAGATTTTTTATTATTATCTGTTGACGTAAAGATTAAAGCTTATTGAACCCTTGGTGTTGTTTCTGTGTTATGTTACTGTACAGCAGATGTCTCCTCTGTTGTGGGAAGCTTCTTGTGTGACCCCCTAAGGACGTGTAACTATGAATTCTGTAAAGTTCATGTTCTACTTTAACGCGGGCGCCATGTTAATATTTTAAAAGAACCACTTGCAGATTTAAAAAATTGTAACTTGATACACTTGGAAATCTGACCTAAGACTTATTTTCTCCAAGTGAGACTAATGACTGTGTACCTCTATACGTGCGTACGAAATAAACTATATAAGTCGAACGTAAGTTTCCTTAATGTTTTTCTTTGTTAATTTTCACTTTAGCCTGAACTGTATTTGGTTTTATTTTGAATGTGTGACCCATAACAGTATGTGTTCGCTTCAGTATCATAACATTCAGGCATATATGTCAGACATAGAAGGAAAGGCGTGAGGGAAGTAGTATACGAGTTACAAGTTGCCCAAGGTGCGCGAAGAGGCATGATGCGAGAATTTGTTGTGATCGGCAGTCAAGTCGGCTGAGAGAGAAAACGATCGAAACTTGAAGTATAGGCTTTACCATGAGATAGAATGGATTAAACTGACAAAATTCTGACGTTTGGTGACTGTCACACAATGGGAGTGACGTGTGATTCGCCAGAACAGCGAAAAACTTTAGAGTATCATTAGCTGTGGCGCGGATTTTGATTTGCTTTGTGAGATTTGTTTTCCTCGAACCATGTCAAACTTCAGACTGTCGCGCCTGTTGCCTAGGTTTCTTCGGGGTGACAAGGACAAAAACGGTGGATTTACCAAAGATGCTGGCGACAAAAATTGCTGTAGGATTTTATTTTTGGATGACACCGAGCTGAAATTGCCACTCAAGGTGAGTCACTCTGAAAATCGACATGCAATAAATTTACTCAGTTTAATTCCATATTAACAGACAGTGATGTCACATTTGAGTTTTGATCATGTGTTTAAAGTCAAACTTGAATTGCAGTATTTTTACAAGTTCCGCTGTTTTCAGTGGATTTGTTACGAGTTAGATGATGCACAAACTGACAATGTTAATTGCTGTCTCTGATATCCTGATCTGACACTGCAACAGTGAAAGGGATGTTTTGATAAGAAATTAGTTTGTCAATCAAGATTTTCAGATCCAGGTGGTTGTGTCAATTCATTGCATACATGAATAGAAACCATGCTTATTTTTCAAAAGATTTCAACTATCTCTTGTACCAATCATATTTTGGTATTGCTTAGCTCTACATACCTTTCAGGTCCATTTTGTAATTATTTAGGGTAGATACAGCTTATTTAAGAGAGGCGGTGGGGGTAGTGGTTAAAGCGTTCGCTTGTTGCGCTGAAGACCCGGGTTCGATTCCCCACATGGGTACAATGAGTGAAGCCTGCTGTGATATTGCTGGAATATTGCTAAAAGAGATGTAAAACAATACTCACTCACTCACTTATTCAAAAGAGGGTAATGTGCTTGAAACACAAATATGCAAGCTTATAAATTGGTAATATGTTCGTGTGATCCCCAAATCAGTTGGGTTATTGTTATTTCTGTTTGAAACCTTTCAACAAATGATGGTGTAATATGTATTATCGTGTGTCAAATACTTGCTGTATCCAGATGTTTATTATTTTATATATATTGCTTATGCCTATGTTATTGACAGTCTGCACCAGGTTGAAGATACATGTACTTGCCTGTCGCCCAACTTAATTACTTGCTATCTGACATTACTAAAAGGAGGAAAGCATGTTTGTTGAAAGTCAATGTTACTACAACTCTGTTGTGAATCAGCTGTTTGATAAAATGCTAAGTAATATTTACAACTCAAAATAAGTTTAGAACACCCAGTTCTGTAATAATTCAACAGTGAATACATCATGCACTGATGGATGAGCAGCATAATGAAAGACTTCTTAACTTCTTTTTATTAGTGTATTTAGGCAGTATCATTAATATGGCAACATGCAGATCACTCTCTAACCCAAGGTTATCAACTGTGTCCTTTTGCAGATCAAAACTTCCACAGCTATCAGTATTTTTTTGTGACATAGGAAATTTACATATGTTTTCTATCCAGAGACTAGCAAAACTGACTGCAGATTTTCTGTGAAATGGCAACTCCAGCCTTTTTCATTGTATTGAATATAGAAATTAATTTCTAACCCTATTACAATACATATTCACTGCAAATGTGTTCTTGTTGAAGCTGGTTATTTTGTGGCAACTTCCTGTTGTCTTGATGCATGTGAGTGACAGTCGAATTCCCTTCAACATCTGGCTGTTCATGTTTATGAGCAAAACAGATGCGGTAACAGTTCTCTTTACCGTGGAGGATTTTTGTCATTCCAAAGAAACCCATTTCATTCCCTCTTCAAGCCATTAGTGTTGTTGTCCAGGTGATAATGAACGTTACAGTGTTCATGGTGATGGTTCAGTGTATGGAATTATGACCAAACATGTAGTTGAGCCTGTTTCAGGTACCCTTCATCTTGACATGACCTGGTACTTCAAGCTGTGTATACTGTAATGTGATATTCTCATTACCGACCAACACTGTTTTGGTGCGCACAGAATGAAGTTACATTGATTTTATAGATAATAATATAAAGAAATAAAAGCTTTTTCATAAGAAAGCCTTCCAACTAAGTATGCTCCTTGGCATACATTGCACAGCGTGTGACATTTTAGATTTCGTAATTGAGACCGTGAGTCTATGGTACTGTCAGTCATGAAGAAGCCACTCACTGAATGTGAGATTGTTTTGAGTAACTGACTGTTTGCACTCATTATAAGTAACTGGACATTTGTCAGTTTGTTGTCCAGAGTATTATGTGGTGTTTATATGAAATTATAAAGTGTAATTGGAAACAATGAGAGACCAACTTAAATCATACTTGACTCTAATTATCTGTGATCTGCTGTTCAAATCACTGTACAGCTCCACACCTAATCAACAGATTCAGAAAGTAGCCATAACTTCGCTTTTCATCAGTAGACAAACTGAAATTGAGATCGCCTAGCAACTGTTTTAGTTGCAACTTATATATTGACTTTGAAGCCAGAGCTCATGGATAGAGTGGTAGGTAATATTTTGCTTACACTGTTCAGCTCCTGGATGGAGTATGAAGAAACATTTTGCATGCACTGTGCAGCTCTTGATGGATTGCTGGGTAAAAAGGCGGGGAAGGAGGGACCAGAATAAGAGGGGGAGCTGGAAGGGGGGGAGCTGGAAGGGGTTGAGGTATCTGGAATCTCACTGTCACCTCTCATGACAAATCAGCTTCTGTGTTTAGCTGTTTCAGCTTGACGAGGGGGTGTCACTTAACGCACTTGTATCTGACAGCATACAGCTTGCTAATTATGTTGTCAATTGTCATTTAGCTAATTACTCTGACCATTAAAACCAGGCAAACAAGCCTGTGTGCAGGTACACTTGATGAGTATGTGAGTGTGTGGTCCTTACATTGCTGTTAACTGTCTCAATGAACAATTAGCTTAGTGTCAGACCAGTCTAAGCTTTTAGCGAGGACTGTTTCACTAGTGATAGCGTAGTCACACAAGAGAATCTCCTTAAAACTCATAGACATATCAATACTTATAAACACCCATTTTCTACATGTATTAAGTCAAAGCCTCTTCGTTATGTTTATAAGATTCACAATGCCTGTGGTATCAGCTCTTTTGATTGACAAAAACGGCCTCCATGCCACGCCCTTCTCGGTAGTGACAGCTGAGGAGGATCTGTTAACTAAACTCTAATTCGTCATTTTTTGAGTGAGTGAGTTAAAATGTATTGTCACATCGGCAATATTTAAGCGGGAATGTGACTAAAACAGCTCATACCTCATTACACGACAATGTTTATGTATAATATCTGTTCACAAAGGACAGTAAAACAATGAACATGCCACAATTAGAGATCGTCAGCAACCAGAGGTAGATCACCAAACTCAGGTCCATGCGGACTAACAGTGCTTTTGTTACCTGCATGGGACTTAGCTAGATTTACCTCATTCCTTCAGGTGTTGGCAATATTTGGGCAATTCAGAAATACTTTAGAAGAACATATATATAATCTACTATTAAAATAACGGAGGATGAATAATACTTGAATGAAATGGTGAATACATGCAGGATTTATGTCTGTTCATGACTCTAACTTTATATAAAGTGAGTCACAACGATCCCCAGTTTGTCAAGGGGTTGGGGGGGTGAAACCTGAGACTAGATATTCATTGCCTCCAAGGCTCTCTGTATGTAGTAAGTCACAGTGATGGGGTGGGTAAAGCTGAGACTAGATATACATTGCCTCCAAGGCTCTCTGTATGTAGTAAGTCACAGTGATGGGGTGGGTAAAGCTGAGACTAGATATACATTGCCTCCAAGGCTCTCTGTATGTAGTGAGTCACAGTGATGGGGTGGGTAAAGCTGAGACTAGATATTCATTGCCTCCAAGGCTCTCTGTATATAGTAAGTCACAGTGATGGGGTGGGTAAAGCTGAGACTAGATATACATTGCCTCCAAGACTCTCTGTATGTAGTGAGTCACAGTGATGGGGTGGGTGAAGCTGAGACTAGATATACATTGCCTCCAAGACTCTCTGTATGTAGTGAGTCACATTGATGGGGTGGGTAAAGCTGAGACTAGATATACATTGCCTCCAAGACTCTCTGTATATAGTAAGTCACAATGATGGGGTGGGTAAAGCTGAAACTAGATATACATTGCCTCCAAGACTCTCTGTATGTAGTAAGTCACAATGATGGGGTGGGTAAAGCTGAGACTAGATATACATTGCCTCCAAGACTCTCTGTATGTAGTGAGTCACAGTGATGGGGTGGGTAAAGCTGAGACTAGATATACATTGCCTCCAAGACTCTCTGTATATAGTAAGTCACAATGATGGGGTGGGTAAAGCTGAAACTAGATATACATTGCCTCCAAGACTCTCTGTATGTAGTAAGTCACAATGATGGGGTGGGTAAAGCTGAGACTAGATATACATTGCCTCCAAGGCTCTCTGTATGTAGTAAGTCACATTGATGGGGTGGGTAAAGCTGAGACTAGATATACATTGCCTCCAAGACTCTCTGTATGCAGTAAGTCACATTGATGGGGTGGGTAAAGCTGAGACTAGATATACATTGCCTCCACGACTCTCTGTATATAGTAAGTCACAGTGATGGGGTGGGTAAAGCTGAGACTAGATATTCATTGCCTCCAAGGCTCTCTGTATGTAGTAAGTCACATTGATGGGGTGGGTAAAGCTGAGACTAGATATACATTGCCTCCAAGGCTCTCTGTATATAGTAAGTCACAGTGATGGGGGTGGGTAAAGCTGAGACTAGATATACATTGCCTCCAAGACTCTCTGTATGCAGTAAGTCACATTGATGGGGTGGGTAAAGCTGAGACTAGATATACATTGCCTCCAAGACTCTCTGTATGCAGTAAGTCACATTGATGGGGTGGGTAAAGCTGAGACTAGATATACATTGCCTCCAAGACTCTCTGTATGTAGTAAGTCACATTGATGGGGTGGGTAAAGCTGAGACTAGATATACATTGCCTCCAAGACTCTCTGTATGTAGTAAGTCACATTGATGGGGTGGGTAAAGCTGAGACTAGATATACATTGCCTCCACGACTCTCTGTATATAGTAAGTCACAGTGATGGGGTGGGTAAAGCTGAGACTAGATATACATTGCCTCCAAGACTCTCTGTATGCAGTGAGTCACATTGATGGGGTGGGTAAAGCTGAGACTAGATATACATTGCCTCCACGACTCTCTGTATATAGTAAGTCACAGTGATGGGGTGGGTTAAGCTGAGACTAGATATACATTGCCTCCAAGACTC